AGAGACAGACAGGTACACAGAGAGCCAGACAGGTTCTCAGAGAGAGACGAACTGACACACAGACTGAGAGCCAGACAGGTTCACAGAGAATCTAACAGTTTCACAAACAGATTGCCAGAGATCAATATTCACAGAGTTAGACAGGATCACAGGGAGATGGGCATAAAGATGGAAAGACAGACTGCCAGAGAGAGAGGTTAAAAAGAGACAGGGCTCAGGCAAAGTCAAGAAAGAGACCTGTAAGTTTCAGGATAGTCTGAGAGCTTTGCTGACTACAGAAGCATCTTAAGTGGGAATTCTCTCCCCTTCCCCTGAGTGGCATAAAATTAAAATGCAGTACAATCCAATTAAAATCAGATTAGGGTAATGAAGGTAATTAATACCTGCTTTCATCTGTTATTTTATGCAGGATGGCAGCTTGCAGTGCCCAGAACCAGGAGCTACAGAGGAAAGTGTTTCAACTGGAGAAACGCAACTCGTAAGACAACTTCATGAGACATGTCACAGGAAATGACGTTATCTCGTCTCTGCAGAAAACTGGGGCACTTACCAGCTTGCTCTCCCTCTCTCAGGTCTCTGATGGAGCAGTTGCGCAGACTGCAGACACTGGTTATGAGCAGCTCCAACAAGACGGCCCAGACTGGCACTTGCATTATGGTGAGACACAGACACTGAGCCCTTTTCCTCCCCATGTTCCTGTAAAAATAGAAGGTGAATAAACATATCCCTGTGTTTCTTTCCCTACCTGTCTTCCTTGCTCCTCCCCTCTGTCCAGGTGCTCCTGCTGTCTTTCTCCCTCATCCTGTTCCCCTGCCTGCGCCCCTTCTCCAGCAGCACCGTGAGCCAGGAGGGAGACTTCAGCCCCGTGAGAGGTCAGCCTGCCACTCCCTGTCATGCCTGGCCCAGTTGACACCTCTGAGTGCTGTTGCGTGTCCATACCACAGGAATCAGTATGGCACAAACTGATGCTGATTAACACTGCAGAGATTCAAATTACCGCAGATTAGTACAGCAATATTCTGCCTCGATGAATAATGTAAAAACCAATGGCATTAAGATTTCAATAGTTCTGCTGCACATTAATACTGGAAGATCAGGATAACAGAAGCAATAACGGACTGCCTGCTGCATGGTGCTATTTGAGAATATGATTCTGGACTGAAATAAATAAAATACTCTCCGCAGGGAATGCAGATAACCCTCCCGAGACCCTGTGCGAATCCTGATAGTTCCTCATTATTCACTCTTTCTCTGTCCCCTAACCTTCGACATTTCTCGGTCTCATGTCGCCCTCTGTTGCCCCCTGCAGTTCAGTCACGGTCACTGCACGACGTGGAGTCCTCTCGGGTGTCCCACGCCGTAGCTCATGACCGCGCCCATTCCGCGCCAGAGCCGGGCGGAGCAGCTCCCGGGCCCTCAGGGGAGGAGGAGGGGAAGATGATGCCACCGTTCGGCAAGCTGAGCCAGGGGAGTGGTCTCCCTTTCGCTGACTTTGCCTCCACCCACATCAACCACACCCATGACGTGGAGGAGCGCGGCCATCACCAGGGCGACCCCATCACGGGCCACGTTGCCACGGTGAGCTGGACTGAGCATCATGGGGGAAAGACGCCCCTCCCTAATCACGCCGATGAGATGTGAGGAGACGAGAGAGCACCTCCTCACATCTCATTTATAAATACACTGATGTTGCTTTTGTGTTGTTAATATTATTTTTTATCTGCTAAGCTTCTTGTATTTTATTATTTTTTTTTATAAATATCTGTTAAAGTTGCAGCGAGATATCATCCCGGTGCCCGTTTCAATGAAAATCTTCAAAGTAAATCCAAGTATTTGATCTGACGAGCAACCAATTTGAATTGTCATGTTAACATTGTTTGCATCTAGGTGTCAAGCAGAAAATCAGCCTGTAAATGAAAGGAAGTAGCTGAACGCAGGAAGAAAGGATTAATTTTCTTCATGCTATGAAAAATGCTGATCTTGCTCTTCGAGAGTTTGCGAGCAGAGCATATTTCAAAGTGGAAGTTGCTTAGTGCTGGCCTTGAATGAACTTGTGCCTGTTGATGTGGAGCATTCACACAGGGTCTGATGAGGAGAGGCAGAGAGGGTGGCTGGAGGGAGTGAGAGAAAAGGAGCTCCTTTTTGTCAAACACAGTCAACGTGTGGCACCGATCGGTTCATCTCTTCTCAACAGGTCAAAATCCCGTCCTTCGCTGTCCAGCTCTGCTTTTTTGTGAATTCAAATTTAAAACACACCAATGAATGCATGTGTTAGTTAGACAGGTTTAGTCCGTTTACAATAATACTACACACTCGTAACAAAAACACACAAACAATCAGATACAAGTAAATGAATATGTGCCAGTTAATTCAGTTAAACACAACACTGTCATTTCCTACAGAATGATGGGAGTTAATTACTGTAGTTTAATTAAGTTTGGGCCAATATGGTGACTCAGGTGCAAGAGTGCCTTAACAGCTGACAGCTTCTCTTTCTCCTGTGAACTCCAGGTTCAATGTTAATGACACCTGTATGAGATTGTGGGTATGTGGTGTTGGTAGGGAACAAAGGTTTTCACTGTTTAAATATTTAAAAGTTGTTTTTTTTTAAATACCCTTTTCTTCATCCTACAGAATTTAAGTGTCCTGTACTTATTTTTTTTTAAATTGTGAAAACAAAAATAAAAAAAACAACATCAAAGTTTCTTTTTTCGTCTGGTGCTGTTTGAGAATTAGGATTGTGAACGATGGGTAATGAAGTGCTTTGACAAAAGGAGTCTGCTGATGTCTCTTGCTGTCTCTCCTATGCTATTGGCCTTAAGTACGGTGTGTGGTGAGTCCACTGGTGCGAGAGATCCACAACGTGACCATCTGGGCAACAGGCCTCACACGATTTTGGACGACAAGACCAACAGTCTGCTGGGCAACAGTGCCCACAATGTGCTGGACATCAGGACCACCAATGTGCTGGACATCAGTGCTCACAATGTGCTGGACAACAGGACCACCAATATGCTGGACATCAGGACTGCCAATGTACTGGACATGAGTGCCCACAATGGGCGTGGCAGTGCGGTGGCTCTGTGGCTCTGCTGATAAGGCTCTGCGCCTGTGGCTGGAAGGTTTCTGGTTCTTATCCCGTGGCTGGCAGAGGAATCAGTGTGAACTGAGCATTCAGCTATAGCTGCCACTCTGCCTGTGATCAGCGCACAAGGACCAGTCATTAATCATCCTTCCGCCTGGCCAGTAACTGCTGGCTTTAATCTGCGGAGGCACGGGGCTCTTTGATTCGAGAAGTCCCTGGGGCTCCCGGAGACTGCAGCTCTCGAATTCAATTCTCAGATCACTAAAAGAAGGAGAGAGGCTGTCAAGTAGAGAAGCCGTTCTGATTTTCTTTTTGATCTGTGAATTGTTTTTCTCTGATGGACAAATCTGACCCAGATAAACAGGCAGTGTTGTATCCACTCTCTTCAACCTCTGATCTCCAAGCGGTTTTTCGTTCTTTCCATCGTTTTTTGACAAAGTTCAGTAAAAGTTTTAAACAGGCCTTCCCACTGCCGCTTTCACTATATTCCCAGCTGAGCTGTCTGAGCTGCTGAGCTGCTGAGCTGCGAAGCTCCAATTACTGTATTAAAACTTAATTGCATTAACAGAGTCTTTAATTAGACCACTCTAAACTATTGCAGCTCTGGAACTATTTCAGATTTCCAGGTACTGGTCTGGACTTGCCGACCAGTTGGACAACTGGCAGAGCACTAGCAGGGAGTGGATGGGTACAGTCTAGCCAGTGGCATCAGTGTCTGTTTGATTTTGTGAGTTCTCACTGCTGATAGTGACAAACAGCAAAAATAGCACACATAAGCCGCTTGGCTCTTTAAAAAACAAAATGGGGCAGATCTGGAAACCGCTTTCTTCACAAATAATCCCATAGTGGTCAAGAGATGCCATTCACAGGTGACCTCAATCTGATGTGAGAGGCAAAAAATGATCAGACCTTGTTTTATTAAGGCAGAGTTCAGCAGGCAGGTAACTGGCCCACCTCTTGAGGAGCCCCAGTGCTCAAGGACAGTTCAATATGGGCCAATAACAGCTGCTTTCCACATCCATCAGCAGCATGTGGGTCTGGCCTCTGGGCCACGTTCACTGCACTGGGAGTCTGCCTCAGAATCTGATTGTGATTGAAGGGGAGCGAGCCGAAGGTGCAGAGGGCTCACTAGAGACTCTTACAAACCATCTCCGCAAAGAAAAACGCAGCTGCTGGTAGTGCGTTAAAATATTAATCAAAGCTCTGTACAGCGGCACACAGCGAATCTGGGGGAGAGGTCAAGGTGAGGACACTGAATGATTTGAAAAACCCACACACCCTCAAAGCTGGGAAACATGTTCAATTCTAAATACCGCGCTGGTCTGACAAATTGAACAAGCATTGCCAAAGACACCTGACAATCTAGAAAAAGACGTTCAGAGAAAAACTGTTTCCCGTTTTCCTGTCTGCTGCTGCTCCCTCTGTCTTCTGTCTCTTTCACTGCTCTGTTTTCGTGTGGACCAGCAAGCGGAGGAGGCTCTTCTCAGAGCTTGGCAAGGTAAGAGTTCTGGTCACTGCAATTATTGTATTGATCTCTTCAGTGTATTGATTAGCAGTGAGTATTGGCCTTATTCAGCCCTGTGTTGTGATTTTCTCTGCACATGAAGGATGCTTTTATAAATGTAGTGTGCAGGCCTCAGGCTGGGTGTTTGTCCAGTTTTGTGTAGTCCTGGTCTGGATCCCATACTTCAGTGCAGTACCATGCAACGGGATGGATTACTTACAAAATCAGACCAAGATTTTTGCGGGAAGGTTGATATTGTACAGCCTCTTCTCCCTGTTACTGCCCCTCTCTCCTCTCTCTGTTGCTGCCCCCCTCTCTCCTTTCTCTGTTACTGCCCCCTCTCTCTGTTACTGCCCCCTCTCTCCTCTGTTACTGCCCAACCTCTCTCCTCTCTCTGTTACTGCCCCCTCTATCTGTTACTGCCCCCTCTCTCCTCTCTCTCTGTTACTGCCCTCTCTCCTCTCTCTGTTACTGCCCTCTCTCTCCTCTCTCTCTGTTACTGCCCCCTCTCTCCTCTCTCTGTTACTGCCCTCTCTCTCCTCTCT